GAACTTCCTCCTGATAATAAAATTATTTATTATGAATACAAGGATGAGGAAAAGGAATCTAAATCATCAAGTACGAATGACAAATCGTACAGTAATCCAGACAGTTAAAATTCCAAAATTTTTAAGCTTATGTACGAGTATATTAATGCTATAAAAAGGTTAGATTTTATTTATTTATTTATTAACTTATTTATTTATACTTTTGCACGTATTAAAATATGTCTCCAGGGCGGACTTAATGCCTGATGGCATTCTCTATCAGTCAACCGTTACGCTAAACAGAGAGAGGAAATAGCGGTGCATAGATTTAACAAAAACAATTTGTAAATTAAATAAAAATTTTGTGAGATAATGAACACACAAATATATAGAATAATATACTTACAAAAACTATACATACATCAATTACATACAAGTATTATAGTTATAATTATTTATTTATACTTTTGCACACATTAAAATATGTCTACAGGGCGGACTTAATGCCTGTTTCACCCATGATACCCCCCATGCGCTGCCATTCTTGAGGACTCAGGTGTTATTCCTCTGTACCCTGTAAATTCACGGTTGCATCTATTTGTCTAATTTTTTTTATTGTTTTTGTAATTGTCCACACAAAATATGTACAAAAGGAAAAATTTGAAAGATCGTGCAGAGAAGTGAAAAATTTGAGTTAATAAATCACCACATAAAAAAAATTGTGAGTTACTAAATTCGTACGACGCCGGGGCAGAATGCTAACGTTTAAATTCTAAGTAAATCGATTGAATTCAAAATTGTAAACAATATTAATGACGAGATGTTATCAAGGAATTTTAACTTGAAACTATGATAATAGCTGTTATCAGACACTATATCAGCTGATAACATTGTAAACACTATCTAGTGCAGTTGCGTTGTTATTTTTTATTTTGTTATTTTTAAAATTTAGTATTTTATTACACAAAAAGAACATTATATTATTAATTAAACCTTTTCGATTAATTATTGACAATTAAAAAAGAAATAGAAACTTAGGAAAAGTATTTTTAAAATCGGTTCACAATTGACTGAGAACATACAAAAAAATATATACAGTGGAACATACAACCAACAATTTGGACAAAATAAATCTCAATTTTAGTTAAGTACTAGCTATATCCCGCAGCTTCGCTCACGGTTATCAATATATAAAGTATTCTGTATTCTAAGTTAGTATATAATATAATCTATCAGTGTATTAATTTTCATTCAAATCCATTCAGTAGTTTTTGTGTGAAAGAGTAACAAACATTTATCTAACTTTACGAACTTGTACATTTGTAATAGAGATGGCATTAGTGGTAGTTTTAAGTAAGTCGAAGATTTTTTGTGAAACTAAAATTTTCAATTGCTTTATATTAAACGATATGATTAATTGTACTAAAAGTAATAATAAAAAAATTGGTATTCACGACACACACCAACGTCCTAACTAATGTGTCATCGATGCAGTGCGAAGATGAACTTAAATTAACAAGGTCAAGTTCACAATGATAGACAGCACAGTGACGGAATAGCAAGTACAATCGTAGGAAAATGTACCTTATTACAATGCGTTAAGACATTTTACGATCCAAACCACGGCTTACTGACACTGGACGTTATATTTTATAACGCCATCTATTCCTAAATTATGCGAAACTTGTAATATGGATGTTATGGATAGCACCTCTATCCCATTCGTGTTTCTACCGTGAAGCAGTTGTGTTTGCATGACTGTGTTTCGGTTTGAAGGGTGGGATATGGCGTGAATTTATAGGGTACAGAGAAGATGTTATACCTGATACAGATAGTTATACAGATGTTATATCTGAGTTTTTAGGAATGGCAACGCATGGGGGGTATCATGGGCGAAACAGTATACTGTGTTATATTCATGGTACTGCTTATGTTTATAAGCGACGGTTATCACTTTCCATCACATGGGCCATTAGCTTATTTTGCCATTCTAAGTTGCATAAAAAAAAAATATATAATTTTGTTTTTTATTTCTCTTCATTTCCTGCCAAGTGTAGCAACTAGCATAGAAAAAGCATCTCTGAAACCGCTCGGTACGCGACCAAGCTAATTAAATGTTGCAATATATCATTAATTCCATTTAAAGAGTTTTCCTGTAATTATGTATTTTCTATGCTTCTACAAACAGGGTTACCCTTTCATTAAATTTTACAGTCTCAGTTATCTACGTAATTTTATGGCAAACTATGGTATGGCAAACTAACCCCCGGTAGAAGCATAGTACCCTACGGTTCAGAGCTCCAGGGAAAGAAACTGATGTACTATGCGGACAGTATATTTGTCACGATGGGCTAACTGACCTGCCTTTCCATCCTTACCTATCATGCCTCACTGGGGCCCCGCTAGCGTATACCGTTAGCGCAGGCGGGGTTACCATTCAATTATCACCCATTAAAAAAATGCGATCAGTATCTAAGAGAGAGAGTATCTAAGAGCATGCCTCCCTGAATTATTATTACCATGGTCATCGTCATATTCTTTCACAGCCTTTAACTGTCCACTGCTGAATATAAGCCTCCCTCTTAGGGGGTTTAGCCAGTAGTTGCCACACTTGGCAGGCGAATTGGCAATCGCAGTTAGGCTTTAGAGATGTATTAAGAGGGACGCTGCTGCCCATCCTTCGTCCTATCTTAGTCGCCTCTTACGACACCCACGGGAAAGGAAGGGGTGGCTTATTCTATGCCGGGACCACACGGCTTATTATTATATTAGTCTTTAACTGTCCATTGCTGAACAGAGGCCTCCCCCATAATATCCCCCATAATAGGGTTGGCAAGTTAGTCTTTGATGACGTTTGAAGAGAGACGCTGCTCATGCCTCGACCATAAAACTCCCTTAATCGCCTTTCACGGGGGTGAAAGAGATTGTTAACGATAGGGTCTAACTGCCCCATTTCTAGCAATGTTACTAATCAGGTCGACCTCCACGTGGTTCCCCTTAAAACCATCGTGGTTACCTTCTCGTGGAATTCTTCACGATGGGCTAACTGACCTGCTTTCATGCTCGTCTCTCATCTCTCACTGGTGTTCCGCCAGCGTACAACTGTGTTACGACACGACACGGGACTGGAAGGAGTATCTTCGTGAACAATTTTAAATTCCATTGTTATAGCTATTTATATAGATTAATGTGCCTATACGCGGTTTTGCTCATTTCAAGATAATTACGAGCTTGTCTATCATGTAATCTCAAGGAAGACCTCGACTGACTCTGTTGATAAACTGAAGTTTTTTCAACTTGTTTGCTTTTAAACATAAAAATACTTATACGTATGGGGGTTAAACATGCATTGTAAACAATTTAATCGATTATATAAAATAATCTACTTCATAAAACTGTCACTACTGACAGACAGACAAACACACACCTGGTCATGTGGCTGAACATAATAACACTAATCCGTCATACTCGTGAATGGATGCTGTATGTTTAGGAACTATTTTTCAATGATCATTTTGTTTTAAATTTAAAAACATATTGCTAGAAATATAAAATGATCGCTTGCACTTTACACGAAATTAATAATGAAATATCAAACAGTTTGTAAAAGGATTTGAAAAAGGTAACTCCAGAAATTCTTGTCGGTTCTTCTTGGCAGAGGATAACATTCCCAAACCAGTAGTAGAATTGTAAAAAAATTACGATTTAATAAGTATTTTCTTGTTAAAGGTTGCGTAAACACATATTATATTTTAATGTAGTAACAAGCTAGCCAGGCTCGCGTTACCGTCACGGTCGCTCATGATTAAGGATCACGAATTGGTACCGAAACTAGTCGAACTTTCTCGATCTAATTACACGTAAGTTAAACCGGTATTTATTATATTAAAATATAATGAGGAATTGTAAACAAGTCTATTTTATTATTTAGATTGTATTTTGTATGAATTTTCACATACAAATATGATTATATTATTAGTAATATATGTGACTAATTTAATTTCAATGCCTTTTACCTAAATGTTTTTTGGAAGAGCTTGATCAAAAATAAACTCACCTATTCTATCACTTCACTTTAAATTGTTTATTGTATTTCTGGCAAATATAGTGTAATTAAAAAAAAAGTTTACATTCATCCAAAACTGAGTCTTACATTGAAGTTAATAGTGTTTACTATAGTTTGCAGTCGTCTATACGTCGTTAAAATCTCGCGCCATCAAGATCCTAAGCACGATAAAAACATCCGTCAAACGAGTTTCCAAATGACGCCATGTACACAATCTATGCAGACTGTACTATAAATATCCGATTAATGCAATGTTTACATTAGCAATAGCTATATATAATGCCAATGTCGGGGCCGATTCAATTTATATGCATTATATATGCATGTACAATTACTCGCCATGGGAAACAGAAAAATGACAAATAAGGTCACACACAATAGCCAGTTACCACAATAGAATATATTAAATTGGCCGTGTGGTCCCGGCATAGATTAGGCCACCCCTTCCTTTCCCGTAAGTGTCGTAAGAGCCGACTAAGGAAGGACGAGGGATGGACAGCAGGCTTCTCTCTTAAAAACATCTCTAAAGTCTGACTGTGGTTGCTAATCCGCCTGCCAAGCGTGACAACTATTGGCAAAATCCTCCAAGGGGGAGCCTTATGTTAAGCAGTGGACTGTTAAAGGCTGATATGATGGTAACGATGAAATTGCTCAAAAAATACATAATTGCGTAAATGTGCAAGAATTTGGATACTGAGACTTTTGAATTTTGTCCCTCGTCTGAGAACTGTGTGTGAAATGCATACACGAACGACATTTAGTCCATAGAGAAAAGTTTCCATAGGGAACCACGTGGAGGCCGATCTTACAGGGTATATTGCCAGTAATAGGACTGGTAGTTCGCATTACTAACAATCCCTTCCCCCCATGTTGAAGTGTTGGGCCATTGTACGATAGTATAGTACCAGCAACACAATTCCTTACCCCCATTAAGACATATACTCCTATTCTGCAGAACCAACAGCCGCTCCTGGACGTAGTTCGGGAGCGGGCCCGGGAGCTGTGCAGCGGCGCGGACGCAGCCAGTGGCGAGCGAGTTGAACAGAAGACCAGGGAGCTCACCGACAGATGGAACGTCGCCTGTGAAGGTTAGTTCTATTTCTGTTCTTGAGTCAGCTTCAAAGTCCAGGAAACTCAACTTTATAGCTGGAATCTTTGTACAAAAGTCGTCTGCTTGAGTACCTCTGACTCAATTTTAAGAATGGCAACTCATGAAGGTATTATGGGTGTCATAGTAATATTCTGTGATGTTTATGGTGCTCTCCATGGTACTGTTCATGTCTATAAGCAATGGTTTCATTTACCATCAAATGGGTTGTTGTTGGTTGGTTTGCTATTGTAAATTGCTTAAAAATATTCTTGTTAGTTAGCTAAATGTATCAACAACATAAGAAGATAGTTCAAATATATTTGATTTCAAATGAAACAAATATCTAAATAAACATATTATTTGAAAAATTGTTTCATTTTTAAAAAATTCTTTACTCCAAATCCCTATAAATCCTTTTATATAGAAAAAATATTTCATTAAGTTATTTAACTGTTTATACAGGTTTAGCAAAGCGAGCAGCTACTGCTGATCACCAGCTACAGCGCTGGAACCTTCTCCTGGACGTCCAGAGAAGTCTAGCAGCTTCCATCACGGCAGCATCCGATAGATTACGGCAACTGGATGCCAATCCCAGCACCAGACGTAAGGCGTTGGACACCAGGCATACTTTGCAGGTGAGATTACTGTTTTAGAATAGTTTTCAAGCATCGCTGATTTGAAACCTCTAAATAAAAAAAGAAAGACTTTTCAAACATTGGAGTAATTTTTTATTTATTCTTTATTTCTATCTCTCAATATAAAAAAAAAAAATATTACAAGGAAATGATCATTGTTAAAATCATTAAGAACTGAATACATTGAAATTGTCAATTTAAAATGTTTAATGTTAGAGCTAGAATTTAGACAATTTGCTTTTATTTTGGTGCAGGAACTACAAAATGAAGTATCAAGTTTGGAGGACACCAAAGATGAGCTACTTGAACATGCAGACTTTGTCGTCAACATCCTGAAGCCGCACTCCAAAGAACACGCCGGAGAAGTGGAGACGAATGTCAAAGACTTAGTGGAGTCTTATGAAAAGTAAGTAGCATGAATCTTTAAGCTCACAGGTAGGGTTGAGAGAATTCCCAAGTAGCTGCCACATATTTGGGGTAAGTATATAAAACTTTTCAAAATAGTATAACCGGTTTACAGAAGTATTTTGTTATGTCGAAGTTACGAGTAGTCAATCAATACATGTTAAGGGTTTGATCTGTCAATAAATTATTGTACAATGTAAAAATAGCAATAGTACTTCCAAGCCGTAGTATTTCAAGTGAATATAAAAATGGTTTTAGAAGTTGACCATTTCTACATGGTTTATCAAGATACTCGTAAGTTTTTAAATTAGGTCCTAAGGAATACAACTGTGTAAATCGTATCCAATTTGATGCAGTAATTTTTGAGTAATCTTGGAGTAAACATACATGCAGATAGGTAGACCTCCTTCATATTTTTTTTTCTAAAATATCTCAGATTTCTAGTATAGTCTAGTTAAAATTTTATTATATTAATAAGATGTAATAATGCCTATGTAAATATTCTTCTGCATACCCTATAATACTTTAAAATTATTGATAAAGCACTTGTAATTTTCAAGACGAATTCAAATCATAGTACCCAAAGTTTACTTCGGTCATGTATCAAAATAAACTATTATCCAAATACGAAACTTGTGTCATCGTAAACATAGCGAGATGTCGTAAAAACTTCAAACTCAATAGAATTTCATGCATTTATTTAAACTCGTGGAGCATTGTGAATTTTTTTCGTTGTGTCTGTCAATCGATCGAGGAAGCAACGAGCTAGAAATTCTGGCATGGTATCAACGCGCAGACAGGCACGTTCACAACCGAAATAAATTCCGCCTCACGCAACGCAACATTTTAACGAATCTTTTAATTACTAACACAACACAGTAGAGTTCAGTTTTGGGCGTCATTAGTGATATGTTTATCTAAAACAACTGGCGTCTAACATTCTGGGACTAACAGTTCTGATTTCATTTACTCAATCTTCACCATTGCAATATTCGTGCGATGTTTCGGTCATTTATTGTAAATTGCAATGAAAATTTATGATCTGATACTGTTTAGTACTTTCTATTCACATAAATTCATTATTTATATAGTTAAACTTTATAAAAAGAGCAACAGCTGAGTTTCTTGTGTTGTCCGTGATTTTAGGCTTAAATTGCGCTTTTTTTATTCAACTTAGAATGGCAAAAAAGCTGACGGCCCACCTGATGAAAAGTGATAACCGCCTATAGACATATGCAGTACCATGGACATAACAGAGCATACTGTTTCGCCCATGATACCCCCCATGCGTTGCCATTCGTGAGGATTCAGGTGTTATTCCTCTGTACCCAGTAAATTCACTTCCATATTCCAACCTTCAAACCTAAACACAGCCAAGCAAACACAATTGTTTCACGGTAGAAACACGAATGGGACAGAGGTGTCCAAGCAAACGACTTTTGTACAAAGTCTCCCTATGGTATTAAAATAGGCGTTAAGAATAGGCGGTAATAAAAAAATTACTATTAAAGAATGCTTAAATTTAAGTTTAGTTGAATAAAATATTTCTTTCTTTCGTTATTCGTTAGAATATATATATTTATATAGTTGGTTAATTCTTAGTAAAAAATGAAATAAAAATATTTAGTTCAAACATGACAGAATTGGTATTCACTAGTCACTCACGTACGCGTTGCTGGCCCTGAAGAGACCTTAATACGACCTTTTTAAAGAACCCTCTTTATTTAATTTCTAGGACAAACTTAGCCTTAATCTACAATCTGAGAGTTATGAAAATACATACTGTACATACGAAACTGTACTGTTTTATATTGTTTTTTTTTTTTTAATTAGATAGTTAATAAGAGATTAACTATCGCAGTAAATTTTAATCGCGTAATTGTTTCATTACGCTTTGTTTGTTTTATTGTGATATTGTTTTCTTTTGTATGAAAATTTTATGAAAATATTACAAAATGGTTTAACTTATGACAGAAGTTTAATATATCTAGTTATATATTGGTATCCATTGTTCTTTAGTGAATGGTAATGAAATGGTAATCCCGCCAGCGTATACCGTTAGCGCAGGCGAGAGATGATCTGATTTATAGTTAATTCATTTTGTATTTTAAGAAACTATGAATGTATTTAAAAAACATTAAATTCCCTGAACACTGTATACCTTGACCAATTTTATTGCCAATGCATAGTACAAGTAACGTCAATTTAAACTCTATAGCCTAAAATATACAACCGAATTTTCTGTGTGGGAAAAACTGCGAAGATTTGTTGCCTACACTCGCCAAAAATTTTCGGTAACATGTCAACGCATTTCGAGCCCTATTGTCTCGGTGTTATAGTACTTAATCAGTACGTCATCTGGTTTTGGACAAGTGAGCTCATAAACGGTCGTCCACATATGGAATGGTCAAGGGCGAACAACTCGAACGAGACGTTGCTACTAAAGTATTTAATGTTGTTAACAAAATGCAGACATGATGTTACCGACCTCTGTAATAATATATTGATACCTTCAATTGATTCCTTCATTGAATAAAAAATCTGGTAAACATAAAAATCTGGAAGAAAGAAAGAAACTTTATTTTACAGAAATATGCGACTACGACACAACTTACGGGGTTAAAAACTACACACAAAATATTTATATATAAATAAAGAATGTAAAATTAAAAAAGAAAAAAAAAACAATACGTATTTTTTTTAATGGATGATAATGAAATGGTACCCCGTCTGCGCTATCGTTATACTTAATATAATATATATAATTATAATAAAAAATCACATTGTAAGTCAAACAAAATTATATAAATTTAAGTGGACATCATTTCGTTTATATTATCATTATTTGGAGTAACATTTCTTTAATTTAATTCTATAATTATAAAAAAAAAATTGCCCACCGTTAAATTTATTATCCCCTTGGCCGAATTTTATTCCTAGCAAATATTCCTATGGACTGTAAGACTAAATTTATACGCTAGAAAGATTTTCGCGTTACAAAAATACTCAAGTTATTGAATCATCGGACGAATCGTCATCGACTTAAAATTCATAGAGATTTTTACATGACGATGATGTCATTACGGTAATGATTCGTTGACAAATGCTACTTATTTAATTAAGCATAAGATCTACATTAGAATGATTACGCGACATTTCTAATCTAGTTGAGTCTATGACATTGAAATTACGTAAGTGATGACGAAATTTTATTATTTTTAGTAAAATACAGCTATGTACGTAGTTAATTTTTAATTTTGAATTATTTTGACTTGTGCCTAGTCATAAAAATACGATAAATAGGTACAATAAAAATTAAAAAAACCTAAAAATGTAAGATATATCAAAACGCAATATGTAAAGAAAATTCTAAGTGTTATGGAACTAAATCCGTTTGTTCCACCCACACCAAGCAAGTTCTTTTAGTTCAAATATTTTAAATAAAATTTATTTATCATCTAAATAAAAGGTCATTGATGCGTTTTATTCTTTTTTAAAATAAGAATACTGAGATTGTTAGTTAGTACTTTTTTTTTATATTTGAAGTCGTTTTTTGCGGAACAAAATATTACAAACTTATTTCTTTCTAGCTTTACGTTATTTTTTTCGACATTTAATGTGAACAGTCTTTGATGTGGTTTTATTTGCGTATGACCTTGGTTGGCAAAAGACGGAATCCGTTTGTTAGGAAAAGCTAGATAGTCAATGTAAACTCGCGAACTTTGATATCGGTGACCTCAATAAACTAGATTCTTGTCTGACATTTCACTGGTTTACCTTACGTCGTAGAAAATTACTGCCTCAGGTATCGCGGGGAGGTCTTGTGTGTCTGTATTTGAGACTTTTTTCCTTAAACTGTCTATTTATCGTTGTTTCGTCTTTATAAATCCTTTTATTTACTATTCCGTTAAATAGTAATTCGTTAATATTAATTAAACATTTCTTGTAAAATAGATTTGACAAATTAAAAATTTAGAATCTCTCATACTAACTTGACATTGCGCCCTCCGTGTTAATATAACTGTCAAATTTTTAACCTTTTTTCGACTAAATAATATTAGATTTATTTTTATATATTTTGTTTGAATTACTGAGATATTTAATTAAATTTTTATCAATTTAGAATCTCTCATTATGAACTTGACGTCGCACTTCAGAAAGGCGAATATAAAGTAGTAATGACAAAATGTATTGTTACTCTAACACTATACGGAGTTTTTACACTAGAGGGAGACTTTGTACAAAAGTCGTTTGCTTGGGTACCTCTGTCCCATTCGTGTTTCAACCGTGAAGCAGTTGTGTTTGCGTGGCTGTGTTTCGGTTTGAAGGATAGAATATGGCAGTGAATTTACAGGGTACACAGGAATATAACGCATGGAGGGTATCATGGGCGAACAGTATACTCTGTTATTTCCATGGCGCTGCTCGTGTCTATAGGTGACGGTTACCACTTTCCATCAGATGGGCTGTCAGCTTATTTGCCATTCTAAGTTATATAAAAAAAACCTGATTTAAATATTGAATTAATGTATGACAATGTCACCATTGCATCACTGATATTTCTGTTAAAGGAAACTGAAATACAAACATACGTGTATTGTTGGCACTATCGCACATTGTGTTTGCATTAAGTACCTACTTTTTATGTTGTATTGTTCCCAATGATATAATGAATGATAGAAAAAGAGGCTCTCCATTTTTTTTTTCATTAATTTGTGGACCGATTTGAATGATTATTTTTATTGCTAACGTCTGTAATATTCGGCTGATTATAAAGTATAGTAGTACATTTCTCTATTTTTTCTTTATTGAATCTCGTAATATATATAAAAAAAGTATATAAGTATTTCATGAATTTACTCATTTAGAAATATAAAAATTAGCTTTCTGTTATCTGTTAGTAACTTAAAGACTTTATATTTTATAAGAGATTGTAATTAATGCGATTATTTACGTAAATTATGTTAATTTACCTGAGTTATATCGACGTTAACTTAAAGGCTTGATTCATTATCATGAAATTAGTGTATCATATTATATTTTTGGTACCGCTGATAAATTCAAAAATAGCTATAAAATAAGTAACAATAGAACAAAGAATTTTAACATATTTGGACATATAGAGATAAACATATAAATTTACTTTTTCAGTAGGTACATAGCTTGACTGCACCTAAGGAATTTCTCGAAGGACCTAGGCGCAGGTTCCTGGTCAATTATATACTAGATAGAATCAATCAAAAATCATGGGAAACATAACAAAACGTCGTAAATTACGTCATTAGTCATAGTAATGTACATCTTGTTAACGACGCAATAAGGCGTACATTCATACGGCGCATGTTCCAGACAATCGGCGAGGCGAGGGGACCTGTAATCGTTATTCAAACTAGCAGACTGCTGTTCAGGCGCGGAGTGCGCATGCTCGATTCTCTGTACTTTATAGGTCAGGGCCTCTCAGTCTGCAACGAAAGCCGGCGACAGAAATATACTAGAACATACGCAATTTTAGCCCCTGGAAATAGCATAATAGTTTAAAGTAAACTCTAAAATCAAGGAATGTTTATGCGGTTCGCTCGTGAAGAGGCCAAATGTGCTACATATGAGCGAGCTTATGGCTGCTCCCTTCCGCGAACTAAAAACAATGCTGGACGAACCGGTCCCGAAATAAGTGGACTCGACAAATAAGCAGTTCGGAAACAAATTTTCATGCTATAAAGAGATTGGATCGTGGCTGCGTCGCAAGCGGCGAAGATTCTTTTTTATAACCCCAACGAATTATGTGATTGTGCCTACACGATGACTCACGTATCTAGGCGTATTTCTGTGATGTAGGAAAGGAACGGGGAGTCTACGCGTCTCAGTAAGATTGTGTAAATGTTGTTGCCTCTTGGCAGTGCCACCTTGAATGTTTACTTCACCCACCGGCTGCGGCGCCGCGGCGCTCCGCCCGCCGGCCGACCACATGACACGACCATAATGACCGGATGTCATTCATTGCTAGTTTTTGTTGTTGCGTAACTATATAGGTAAATTAGCTTCCTTTTATAAAAAAAAATATATAAAAAATACTATTTTTGTGAATCTAGTGCATTTATAGACTATTAGCATACGGCAGTTTGAAGCTCCAAGGTCGTGTACATCACGTCACCCTCTCATAGAGCGGTCGGCGGTGCTTGTAAAACGTAAACACTGTGGCGAATGCACCGAAAAAACTCGCGCGCTCTGATGTCACCGTGCAAACATTAGAGCGTGGAATTTAAAATTAGATGCGTTGGGCGAATCTATCGGGTATGGTTCATTGAGCGACGGGCGGGCGACGCGAGCGGATCGCCGCAAGCGAACGAGCACGAACGACAAGGTATACCACGACCACTGGTGCATCAGCATCGACTATGGCGGTACCATAGCCGACACGATAGCTGAACAACAAAAAGCAACACGGCGGGCGCCGGCGCGACCTTGCACCGTCACGGGCGCCGCGTCACGCCGCGCCGTAGATTATTTTCGTCGCTTTTGGCAGCTCCACCTAACTTGTGTGCCTCCGAACTTCATACTCGCATACAACACGACGCGAATTGTACGTTTTAACGTTGCATTTCTTTTACAGATTGCGACAAACTATTGCGGCGAGGCTCGCGGAGATCGACAAAGTGGTGTCCGAATTCGACCGTGTGTCGGAGAGGATTGACGAACTCCGACAACTGATAGAAGTGTCTATTGCTAAAGTAAAGACTTTCTACGTATTTGGCGAGGACGAGACAGAAGGGGTACGTGCTCTCGCCAAGGAGGTCTCCGATTTAGTTGAGCGTACTAAGAACTTCACCGAGGAAAGCAGGAAGCGTTACGGCGGCTCGGCTCCAGCAGACGTCGCACAAGACTTATCCGCTTTAGAGCTGTCGTCAGAAGCGTTGACTGCGGCTATGGAGGAAAAAGAAAGGGAGTGGAAGCGAGCACGTACTGCTCGCTCTGAGTATGCTACTGACGTCGAAGATGTGCAAGCATGGATTCGTTCAGCAGAGTTGACTGCGAGAGATCGCACATTACCCCCTGAGTCATACAGAGAACGTCTGGTAGCTACCAGGTCAGAAGTGCCAAACATTGCAGACCGTGTTGAACGATTGACGCGCAACGCTCGCGCTATAGTTGAGGGCAGCCGCGATGCTGGAGAGCGACAGTTAGTTCAATCTACGGTGGCCGCTCTTTCTGAACAATTTGCAGCTGTATGCAGTGAATTGGAAGCTCGACAGGCAGCAGTCGAAGATGCCTGCGATGCTGTGTCTAGATTCCTCGCATTACTAGAGAAAGTATTACTTTGGGTGGAGACACAACGTGCTTTCCTAGCGCGGCCTCTCCCATTGGCCGACCTGCAGGAAACGCAACAAAAACAGACTGAATATGGGGTATGACATGACGTTACTTTGCAATGTTGTTTACTTTTAAAATATGTATTTTATGAAAATTTTAAATTATGTATTGTGTTTTAGAATGCGCTCAAGAGTTGTAAGCAGCAAGCTAAGAATCTTGCTGACATGGCCAAAGAAATTGAAACAATTGAACGCGTCACAAGTCCAGGGGATCTTCCTTCCAGACTCGAAGCGGCTGAAAATGCTACAGTTGATGTTGAGAAGAAATTGGCGAAAATTGTTAGTCATACATACTGTGTTTTCATTCACTGAATTTATTAATAGATTTTTAATCAACCATTTATTTAAATTTTCAGAATGGACTATTACAAGAGCTAGCAGAAGAGTGGGAGCGATGCGAGAAGAAATTGAAAGATGTTGGGCATTGGTTAGAAGCAACAGCTAAAGCTCTAGAAGCGCCTCAAAATGCAAAGAAGCCCCTCAGAGATCGTCTCGCTTTCAGAGAGAAACTCATAAATGATATTTCTACACAGAAAACTAAAATTTCATATGCAGTTGAAAAGCTTAACGTGAGTTAAGATCTGGTGTACAGGAAAATTTATATTACAAATACAATAAAACTAATCATTGTTATGTTTACTTTAATAGGTACACTTCGGTCCTGAAGGCGTGGCGGCGCAGTCCAGAGGACCAGAGGGCGTAGAAGCTGCTGCAAGAGAGCTGACAGCCTCGCTTGATGCGCTTGGCACACAGACCGGCGCTCAAGCACAGCAGTTGGCAGCAGCGCTCGCACAAGTGGAAGCATACTGTGCCGATGTGGCACGACTACGTGCTCAGTTGCTGGAAGCTGAACAGCAGCTTCGGCACGCTGCTCAGCCCAACTATAGCCCTCGCGATCCCGACAGGGCGCAGAGACAACAACAGGTAAGATTCTTTTTTACAAATGGACGTCATGGACAATATCGAGGAAGGATCGATATAATTCGAGATCCTCCCTCGATGTGTCTATCTATTTTGTCGTTAGTTACACGCACCGACACCATCCAAGTAGGTGGCTAGCGAATATTCTAGTTTTGTTTATCGCGATCTCAGGAGGCTCTCAGTTGGATGCCTTTATCACGGTGGCAGGCTCACCTGCGGGCGAGGTGGCGGGCACCGCTTGGCACGGCATCTTACTGTCCACGTCGCTCTCGAATCTATCGAGGACGATTGTAGGCCACTTAAGGCCACCTGTACATTACCACTGGCTATGCATTCATCTTTATTTATTATTTTTTCTTTTTTTATCTCCACCCTCACCCTCACCGCTACTAACTTGTCAACTGATATCCTCTGATAGGAATGTCGAGAAAGAGTAAAATCTCTTCAAAGCAAGATTCAGGCGCGAAACGAACGAATCAAACTTTTAGTGCAACGCGGAAGTCCTGACGCGGATCCACTCAGGGACACTTAGTCCCGCCGTGGTCGTTCACTTAGCTTTAAGTCAATTCTTTAGTCATCTATTCCTACTTTATTATACATTTTTAAATATTTAAAATATTAAACATACTCAATACATCGCAGCCACTGTCGTTTCTTTTCATAATCCTCAGCTTCATCGCCTACACGTGAACATAAAACGTTCGCTAGTAACACTATTGTAAATTATGTATGTCCATACTTGCGTATCAGGAGGTCACCCGGCGTATCGAAGAGCTGACTCGGTCAATCTACGCGTTGGACCCCTACTACGTGATGCCGCCGACACCGACCGAGGCTGCGGACGAGTCCGTGGCCACTCTGTCAATGCTCGTGTCGACAGCGGACCACGCGCGTGCCAACCGGCGCGCGCGCTCCCCTGAGCGCCGTGACCGAAGGAAACCGGCACACGCACAGCTTACGCAACTCGCGACCCTCGAAGTCCCAGAAAAAGCACCTAGAGCACGCAGTCCTGCCTGGGTTCTTGGAGGAATTACCTATGCTGAGATAGTTAAGGGATATGGCTCAAGATCGAGCTCAATTGGATCTAGACAACCCAGTGCACAAAGACCAACTAGCGTACAGAAAGGGCAATATGAATCATATGGTCGGCCAGAACGGAGAAGCCCATCAATCGACGAAAATGTGTATCGCAGTGAAAATATTAGTGTGCTCGTGCAACCATGTGTACAGTGTGACCCGTCCGATAATAGGGTATATGAACCCAGTAAAGGGTATAGTGAGTCTCGTATGTATGAAAACGTTAGTGAAAGTGGACCATTTAGGGACAATGTTAATATTTATTACGACGAATTCGTGCCTCAAACTATAACCCACGATATTAATGAATATATTCCGAAATATCAAGAACCTCCTCAGGTAGAGGTAAAATCGACAAGTACTTCAGAAACATACGTCCCTATACAGCAAAATATATCTGATCAAACTGTATTGGTACATCCAGCGACGGAACTAGGGCATCTTGAAAAGGAGGAAAGGTCTCTCACTCCTACTACACAATTTCGGCCACAAGATTTATCGTATGCCGAAATTTTAGCCCTTGGTTTACGTAAACAACCAAAAACACAAAGTATAACCACATTACCAAAACCACAGGTAGCACAAGTAGAGTTAGTTAAGGAAATAGTAGTTGAGTGCGTTGAAAAAGAACCATCTGTCATTCAACCTGAGCCAAAAGTCGAACGTATTGAACAATCAAGATCGAAACAACAAAGACCATCACAACGTAGTCGTTCTAGAGATATGCCAAGGCAAAGACGTGCATCTGAAAAACGTCCAACAAAAGCTCATGACGTACAAATTATGAAGAAGAAAAAAACTACAAAACGCGTTATTGAAGTTCAAGAATTTGAAGATGCTCCAGAAAATGTGCAAACTATAGAATCTGCTGCAATTGAAATACCGCCTGCTTTGTCACGTAATGAAACAAATATTACTGAGACAGGAACTAAGGAAAACACGAAAAAAATTCAACACAGTCCTACAATAGTGGAGACTGTTACAGAAACTTTTGCAACAGCACCTATAACAGGAACTGTCGATGATAATGAACCAAAGAAACCTAAAAAGAAACATAAACATAAGAAATTAAAAACATCTGAGGACGAAATATTGAAAGCACTTAAAGAAATTGAAGAATCAGATAAACAAAAGAAAAAGAAGTCAAAAGAGTCCAGTGTCAAAGAAAGTACTTCTAAGTCTGTAATAACAGAACCATCTCACTCTGAAGCCAGACCTATAACAGAAGATTTAGAAAAACTTTTGCCGATAACCGATACTGAAGGATTAACAAAATCTAAAAAGAAAAAAGAAAACAAAGAATACGACACAAAAGATATAATAACTGATTTTGTAACTACAGAAGCACAACACAATGCATCAGAAGTAAAACAAAGGAAAAAGAAAGGCCATAAAGATAAAACAGAAAAAAGTAACACTGCAGATACTGTTATTACAGAATTAGCTAACAAATCTTCTACAATAATGGAATCTGAAGACCTAACAGTAAAAAATAAAATCAATGAATATAAAGATGAACTAATGACAAATCAAGACACTAAAAGAGAAAAAACAAAGGAAGAGGAAATACAGGAAACTCTTAAAGAAATATCTGTAAGCTTACCTGAACAAATTGCATCAGAAAATATTCTTTCTGAAGATATACGTACTATTCAGGATACATGTACTAAATATATTGACTCCGCAATCACTTCTGCTATTACGAAACAAAATTTAGAATATCACGACTCACCGTACAAACGTCAAACAAATTATACAATTACGTCTGATAATGATAAAGATAACGATGCTAAATCGAAAAGTTTAAATGACCCATATTCAGAAGATGCAATTGGAAAAATCAAACATAAGAAAAAGAAATCTCAAAAAGATAAACAAAAGAATGTAAAAATTGATGAGGCTGAAACCAAAGCCATAATTAAGGAATCTGATAATACTGAAGACGAATTAAGAGTGCCCCAGCCACTTGATTCGAAGGAGTTAGAAATACAAGAAACCGATGTCGAAGTTAGTAATATAATACCAAAACAAAAGAAAAAGAAGAAAAATAAAAGAAATGAAAAGGTTTCAGAAAATACATTATTAGAAATAACGGAAGCTGAAACTTTACCAGGTGATGCCAGTTTAATTGAATCGATTGCTGACGAAATTCCTAATATTACAGAACAAGTAAAAATTGATCAACCTTCTAAAAATAAACAAGAACAGTCTATAGAACAAAATCTTTTATATTCTGAAGAAAAAACACTTAAACATTCTGTTTCTGAAGATACATCTTTAAGCGAGCAAAGTGTCACTGTTAAAGATGAGAATCGTCTTGAGGAAATCAAATCTCAAAAGAAAAAATCTAAATCTAAGAAATCTAAGATAATAGACAATGATATAGAAAAGGCACTGAAAGAAATTGAATTAGCTGAAGCGTCAAAGAAAAAAATAAAAGACAAACCTATCAAACTTAAAGAAAATAAATCAAAGGTTATTAAAGAGGAAAATCTATCAACGGATTTTGAACAAAAAACAGAGCTAAGAACTATGTCACTAGATAAAGAAACTGTGCATGATGAAATTAGAAACACAGAAATAATTCCGGAAAATATTATTACATTGGATTGGAATACTTTAATGGCAGAAGAGGAAGGTTTTCCAGATCCTACATTTGAACCAATTTTGAATCAACCTGACACAAAAATATATGCGGATACTACACCTGGACAAGTAGCCAGTGAAGTAACAATACTGCAGGAAACTAATGAATTTTTGTTAGGAGAAAAAACAAGTATTGAAAAAGAGAAATACACATACTCTTCAGATGCACTGGGCGAAGAGATTAAAGATAAAGAAAAAATAAATACAAGTATTGCTTCAGTGCAAAATGAAGAAATTTTTGAGAATGATCCTAAAATTTCTGAATCATTTACTCTCAAAGACGAGTTAATACAACAAGATGTATCTTCTAGTAGTCATAGTTCCACTAATGAACAAAACAATAATGATAAATTTTTCTCTACAGAATCACTAAAAGAAGGGTCCATAAATATTGTGGAGCAAGTTACTAGGTATGAGCCCTTAGAAAAAGATATAGAAACGCGTACTATATACTTGATAACACACGAAGAAAAGAAATTACCTCCTATAAGAACTCTTAAAGTATTTAGCAGCAAAAATAATTCATTAGAAGAAGCTTCTAATGAAGACAGTATACTTGTTGATGAAGAAACCGGCGATAACAAAATCACTGATGAAAAGTCTTCCAGTAGTTTAAAAGATGTAGATAAAGTGGTTGATGTTGCATCAACTGCAGAAATAGATATAGTGGAAAGTGCCACTGAAAAAGAACATTATTTAATAGATGATCATTTAAGACAAGATAATTTATTGTCAATGTGTATTAATGAAAATAATGATAAGAAACCCGATATATTCACTGAATGCAATGTAAGGAAAAGTAAGAAGAGTTTCCCAGAAGAGTTGTTAACGTACGAAAGCGTAGACTTAAGTGAGACGCAAACTAGGTTAGAAGCATCTGCAGCAGATATTACTGGGGAAATTGAACATAATATATCCATCAATAAACCCCAATCATTGCAATCTAGTTCTAGTGTAGAACATCTCACTGAATCAGAGGAGAGATTAAATTTCAAAGAACAAATACCGGAGACAAACATTTCTTATAGTGAAAATTGTCTATCTAATGAATATACTACTGATCATCTTCAACCGCCTGAATCATTAATAACTTCTTCTGCAAACAATTTAGACATAAATATTGAAAATAATTCAGACGATATACTGGAACAAGCCATTTTTGGTTCCGTTCAAGACCGAAGTAAAGTTATTGATGATAAGAAGGAAAAACTTTACAATATACCATACAAAGAACTGTCAGAAGAAATTAAAACATATTCAATTAATTTAGATACGTATGAAACAGATTATCAATATTACTTACTAACTAAACAACTTAAGGAAAATGAGGATAATTTGAAAGCAAATATAACAACAGAAGAAACGACTTCTCCTGAAATTGTGACAGGTTCTGTCATTGAAGAAATACATTCACAGGAAAACCAAAATATTGTACATGGTGAATTAAAACAACACGAAATTAAACACATCGCTCAAAATGAAACAACGAAAAGTAATATTATTTTTGAAGACAGTATACTTAAATTCAACTATCAGGTATTACGCGATGCTGAATATACACTTGCTGACTTAACATCTCAAGATCTTTCAGGAAGTTCTATAGAAAATGAAAATAATATTATAGAAAAGAACGATTGCTTATTAGATATTTCTAAAAATGAACATAATGAAAAGTGTATTGAATATATTGAGTCAAGTATTAACAGCCTTCAGATACATTCTGAAGAAATTGTCCCAATACCTAGTAAGATAACAAACGAAGTATCTACGGGTATAATTCTTGGAGGCAGAGAAAATGTAGTTGTAAATAATAATGAATTAAGTAATTATAATATTTCATTCCAAGAGATACCACGTTTTAATTATTATGAACTAAATGATGCTGAAAAAATATTTGGTTGTAAAATGACTGAAATTACCTACAAAAAGGATGAACTTGAAAATGAAATATTCCCAGAACAAAATAAAATAATGGTACCAATACAAAATAATCAAGAAATTTATGAATCTCATACCTCTGCTAATTTTGATTTGCCTATTGATAAGATGAATGAAAGTCAACAGCAAGAAACTTTATTAGAAATATCTTACCAAAGTCAAATTTTAAAACAAGACCCTATAATGTTGCCTGAAACTTTTAATGCTGATCAGAACAGCGAAGAATCATCACCTACTGAACATCATAAACATGGAAGTATATGCGAAAGCAATGTTGTGAATAAAATTGGTAATAAAGAGCCCATATTTATTGCAGTAGACAACAATACCGAAACAAATCCAATTCAACAAAAAGTATTTGAAATACCACAATTTACTTATCATGAAATCAGTGATGCTGAAAATTTACTTGCAGTAACCCGCGAATACTCTAATGATTTACAGAGTGATAATGTACAAGAATCTATTATTAATACAACTCCTCTTGTCGACGAAAATACAAAATCAAATTCTAAATTGACATCTAGCGAAGCTCAAAAAGACCAACCAGACAAAGACATATTTTCAGATACTAAATCAACTGTGGGAGTATATGAAATTCCACATCAAAACTATTGTGAAATTAATGACGCTGAAACAAAATTAGCTTTATTAGCAACTACCAAAGTTATTGAAGAAACAGTTCAAAAACAAGAACTTCAAACTCCGACTGAACAAAAACAAGAAAGTATGCCCATAGAAATTACTGGAACTTTAAAGAATGATGCGTCTTCTGTATTTAAGGCTACAGATAATATGTTACAGTCAGTCATAAATAAAAGTAATCTTGTATCAGATATAAATGATTTAATGACTGATGAGTGTAAAACATCATTTATAAATGAATTGAAAAATATTACTCAAACAGAAGATCCAAATATTTCTAGAGATGTGACTTTATTATCTGAAGATAAACTTGATACAGTTTCTCAAAATTTCGATACTAATATAATGCCAACAACAACATCACCTTCGTTACAAATATCTCCCTCGCTTGAAATATCAGAACAAGAAGATAAATCGTATAAATACATTCATTCTTTCGAAATCGATGATTTTGCTGATACACTTGTGCCTGTGGTATTTGGTAAAGAAGATACAGAAAACTTTGATGGAAAAGACCAAAAAATATGTTCTCTTCCTATGCCTGAATCTTCAGGACTTTTATTAGAAGTATCAACTAAAGATAGGAGTGAGGCTGATGTATTTCCTGTACAGTCTGTAGTTAGTGTTGAAGAGTCTCAATTAAAGCCTAAGTCTACTTCTCCTAATGAAGTACAAAGTGAAATAATAGATTCTTCCTTAACTGATAAAAAAATTACCGAAGAATCGATAGAAAAAGACTTGCAATCAGAAACTAATGTTTCGCTTAATTATTCTTTAGAGACAACTAGTGTAGAGCCAAGTTTGGTACCTCTAGATATAACTCCAGATGATGTAAATATTAATAAAGAAACAAATCAAAGACCCGAAAAGTCTCCAATACACAGTTTGCACGATCTCCTTCCCGAAATAGATTCCATTCCCGAATTTAAGCCTTCCTATTCGAACACCGTAATTTATTCTAATTTATCGGCTGATGCACCAGAATTTACTCCTTCTTATATGTATCAACCTGCAAGTAAACCTGATCAGATTGAAGGAGATGTTATACAAAAACAAGAGCTAAACATATCTGAAGAAAATATTGAAGATCTAAATGTACCAACAAATCTGGACACAAATATTGAGGTCAAACCTCCTAAATCTTCCGAATTATTATCAGATAATAAAAATGAACAGTATCCGGATTCAATGAAAATATCAGTGAATGAATCAATATCAAAATCAAATATATTATCAGAAGAAATTATTTGTGAAGAAGAAACAGATACAAAGTTAAAACGTAACAAGAAAAAGAAAAAAGATAAAAAAATACCTGAAACTCTTGGTATAGGTACATCAGAATTTCCAACTTCGTCATTTGATTCAGAAGAAAATACGGAACCAGCCAACGTTTGGATGAAAATTTCAGAAGAAGGTAAATCTTACGCGGAAGTTGTCGCTGAAGGGAAGTTATTATTACCTACAGTTACACAAAAAGACAAAGACGTTTCACAAGAACCTAATGAAATGCTGAAATACACTGAAGAGGAAAGACAGCCTCTGGACTATGAGTTAGAAGTAGAAAGAACTATAACAGATAGTATCCAAGATGATAATAATTTAGATTCATGGGCAAAAATAGTAGCAGTTAATCGTCCATCTCCTGAAAGAACTCAGAAACAAATAGAAAAACACGATGTCACTGTGCATACTTCTAAACAAACGCCCATGATCTTAGTAGATGAATCTGAATGTGGAGCCCTTAAAGTAGAAAAAGAAATTGATGCTGAAGGATTTATCACTGTTGACAGACACAGAAGATCTAGATCTCGATCTAGAGATAACAGATCACAGTCATCGTCGGTTATATCCGAAATAAAAGAATTAAGGGACAAATCTGAAAACAGGTTCGATGCTCTTACAAGTACTCTTAAACCAGATGATATTGAGTCAGCTCAAAGCAATTTATCGGAAGATGAAAAACCGATAAGGAAAGAAAAAGGTAGGAAACATCGTTCTTCTAAATCTGTGGAAAAAGATATTAAGAATATAGAAATTACACAAACTATATCTGAGGAGGAGAGACATATTTCCAAAAAAGATAAAAAGAAGCGACCTTCTAAATCTAAAGCAATAATTACAAAGACTCAGGAAGAAAATCCGGATTTAACTGAGAACATTGAAATTCCTGGGATAAATAAAATTGAAAATGAAAATATTGAAAATATACCTAAGCTTCCGATTGAAATAAAGGACGATTTAAAGGATAGTAAAAAGAAGAATAAAAAGAAGAAAAAACATAATAAACACGAAATTGAATTACCTGATTCTACTGATGCCACTATTGAACTTGCTAGTGACTCTCATGTTGAAATTCCTAAAGCTTCATCACCCATTCAGTTAACTGAAACTTCTAGTATTACCAATGCTGTAGTAATCGAAGATAAGAAAATTGAACAAATTGACAGCTTCCATTTTGAAGTATCTGAGGCATTGTCGCCTATTAATTTAACTAGAACTGCTTCTAGTAATATTATTGATACTTCAGTAATAGAAGATAATAAAATTGATGATTCTATTAAAACAACAGATACTTTGCCTTCTTCTCAAGTTATTACTGTAGAGCCAGTAACTCTCTCAAATCCTGAAAATGAAATTACTGAAGATACTAAGTTGATTAAGACTTCTTCTTCGACGCCTGAATCTTTACAGACCCCAGTAAAAGATAGGGTTTATTCAGATGCACAGTACTGGAAAGTTGATCCTAGTGGTTTAGACGACTTAACTAACTTATCTGAAGTATTAACGGTAGAAAAAATTGAGACTATTTCAGAACCTCCTCAGTTGATGGAATTAGATTCAAGTTCTAAAATAAATAAAGAATTTGAAGTTAAACCAATGCCTGCGATGGAAATTCTGAAAATGGATACAACAAAAGTTAAAAGAGATGTAATTCAAGAACAAAAAATAACAGAAGAACAGTCACTTGAAAACAAAATGGCTGATTTACAAAGAGAAATAGAAGAAATGCTCCTCCCCGAAAATGATTCTTCGTTAATTAGTGATGAAATACTTACAAATCTCAACGTTATTGAAACTTCTTCAGAAAACCAAATCGATAACAAAACTGATTGTATTACTACAGTATTAACTACTACCGAACCCGAAATAGACACATCTGTTAGTCTCAAAGAACAAAGTAAATTATCTGTTTCAAATGATAATTTGTCAGATAAACACATTAGTGAACGTATAGTAGATATACTGCTAGCAGATTCTGCATTTGAAACGTCTATTTCGTTACCTACGAAACCCGAAAATGTAAGAATCCTGACGATTAAAGATGACGACGTGACCCCAGTAGAATCGAAAGAAGAAAAAATAGACACTGAGCATGTGGTTCAAATAACACCAGATACTTTGGAAGAGAAATCTGCGGAATCTTCTATTTCAACTGATAATATTTTGTCTGCAAGTAATGTAGCATATCTTAAACAAGAAAAGTATTGGACACAAAAATACGCTATAGATGACGCGGAACGTTTATTATATGAACAAAAATCTGAAAATAATCTTGTTTCTGCACCACAACAAAAAATCATTACTAAAACCGAAACAGAAACTCTTAACCCTGATCCCAGTTTAAAGGAAAATCTCAAAAAAGAAACTACATTTTGGCATGACAAATATTTGTATCATGATGCGGAATTGCGGTATTTCCTTCTAATGGCTAACAAAACAAAAACTCCAACTACTAAGGACCTAGTTGAAATTATTGACCGTAGTGATAAAGACAAAGACCCGGACAGCGGTTCAGGTCATACTTCCGAATCTGAAGAACCAAAAGATTCTCGTGAATCGCCTTTCGATTCTAATTACATATCCATGGACTTGCCTGGTGGTATATGTAGTTGGAAAGACCAAAGTTCTTATTTAAGCTTAGAAACACCGACTGAATCGTTGACGGGTCTTATTAGCGAGGATACTCCAAGAATAGGGACGGACATTCTAGAGGATATACTAACAACCTCAACCCCAGAACCAGTTGCCCCAATCCCACCTCCACAGGGACCGGCGGAAGGAGAAACACAGCACCGGACAGCCAAGGTGACTGATCTCCAGTCGTATTGTACAATTTTATATTTTTACTTTTATGTTTGGCATGATATTATTACTAAATTCTTAATTTCACTGATTACAAAGCTATGTATCGTAAAGTGTCGTACAGCAACGCCAAAAGAGCCGTTCGTCTTGTAGTGCCAATTATTGGCATTCGCTGTATTTTTCATGGTAGTAAACGCATTTGAAGTTTAGTATCTTTAATGATTCGATGTTGTGTGTTCTAACTAATCTAGTCTGTTCTAGTCACATCACTTATTATCATATGATTCTATTAAAATTTTATTAGTTGTCTCAGGATTTTTTTACGATGATCTAATGATGTAAACTAATAAATAAAATACACATAATGACCTTGTTTTATTTAAAGGAAAGTATTTTAGTTTCTTTTAAGACAGCTTATCCCCGGTGATATAAAAACACAATGACAATATTGAGCTACTACGAGACGATCGACAAAGTGCTTTATAATTAGTATTTTTAGATATTTTGGGATAAAATTTAATGAAATCCCGTCCAATCGCGAGGGAACTGAGTTCTCAGAGACTGCTACATTTGAAATATCTATTTGTTCAGGTCAGTCTTGTTTTTAATTCTATAGTGGATTTTGTAGATAGTATATTTAGCAATATGAGAAGAAGGTGAATACATATTATAATTGGCATTAATTTGAAATCTCATACACATTAGTATGTTTGCTGTATTCATCTTACGTAATTACTGTATGTTTCAATTCCTTAGAGTTTATATCTATTTTTGTATTTAGAAATGTTCCTTTTTATGTTTTAGACTTGATCTTTTATTTACTTTTTTTCTGTCTCATTAAAATTGAAATAATTTCAACATAGTACCAATTTGCTGTATTTTTTATTACAAAAAGAATAAAGTGAGCTTGTCGATGTATTTATCACACGCTGCTGCACTTGCAAATCTGACTTTACTAACAAAATTTCAAACACATTTAACCGAAGTACACAAAAGCCAATTTTGTCTATAAAAAGTGCTATTACATAATTAAAAAAAAAACTATTTGGAAATTATACAAAATTCAATCCAAAATTTATGGTGTCTTTGGTACTTTTATGTAGGTACTATGTTGATAATTTTTATATTTTGTATCAACATAGCATGGGACGTTCCGTGAATGAGACTGACTTTTGAATTATATAGTTCCCAGTAAATACCAAGCTAAAGGAATTATAGGCGTAAATTTCAATAAATGTAAGCATGTCATGCCAACTTCGATGTTAAACTAATAAGATTGCCAATTTTTGTTGTTGTTTTCTGTAATTATAGCTAACAAGATTGTGCATTTGGAATGCTGCAATGGACTCCAGAGTTTTCCTTGATTGATAACGTGGAATTTATACATTTTTATTAGTGATTTGCTAAATTAAAATATTAAATCAAATATACGATATAAATTTTACAATACAATTTTTTATTTATTTGCATAAAATGAAACATGTAATGTTAAAGAAATCACACCAATTATAATGAGTTATTATAAATTCCACGTTAACAATATGCGTGAAAGGAATTAATGAATTGCTAATAATTGCGTGTGTTCTCAGGATGACTTGTCTAATGATATTGAGAGTCTTCTTGAAGAAGTGAGAAATATCCAAACTCGACTATCGGACCTGCCTGACGAGAGTCTCCATGCAATGGAAGATGGTCTGAGGGTAAGTAAACGTGTAAATATGTTATTTATTTATATAACGGTCTCTCCTGTCGACGGAACAGAAGCGTTCGCTCTCTAGAGTTTGCTACTTAAATAAATAACATGTTAATGTAAATTTGCTGTTTGATGTAGATTATTAGAGTTAAATGTTATTCAAGGCATGGCAGGAACAAAACAATGAAATTGTAAATATTTTTCCAAATTCACAAGCCAAATTGGCAGAGATTACACAACCGCGGCATAAACAAAACTAGAATTACCATGTTATAAGTTCAGAGTTGTTAGGTGATGATTTATTATGCATAAAATATATATATATATATGAATTACCATGTTATAAGTTATATATATATATATATATATATATATATATATATATATATATATATAAACAGTTATTGAATAATTTTTCTTTGACCTTGACAATGCGTTTTAGATAATTATTGTTGTTTGTTTGTTCATTCATGATGTCATCTAAGTACATATATATAAGCATTACGACATAGAGTTAATAATAACTATGTAGTAGTTTGGCATCACTCAGTAGGGCCACTCACTACTTAGAAATCGAGCGCAACTCCAATCTTTATAATATTATACTACGAACTGAACGTGCGAGCCGAAATGTGTTTTTTATATTGTGTTTATTTCGAAATTGCTCTCGAAAAGTGATTTTTTATTTTGTGAATTGTTGTGACTTAAAAGGTGATTGGGAGTGTTTATTCATGCTAAATCTTTAGTATTTAGTTTAATTCAGTTACAAATTATTACAAAATCAAAGGGATCTTAATTGAATCGTTCTTTTTGTGTTTATTACACGGTATTGTTATCAGTCAACGTCCGATCTTGATGAGGTTAAAATCCCGTGTTGTTTTTATTCAAATTTTGTCAAAATTGAAGTCAAGTTTTTATTATTGTGAAATAGTGATCAGTGTTTTGGAATTATGACAAAAAAACCACATATTTTGCATGTGAAACATTTGGATTTTTTAGTAGGCATCGGTTTAAAAATATTCACCTTACGCAATATGTGTTTAGAAAGTTCTAAAATGAAAATAAAAATTTTAAATTTCATTTTTATCTGTACGTTCCGGTGTTAGTTGAACTTAAACATAAATAACTCAATGTTTATGTATATTACATAATTTTCCCATAGAAAATCATAAAAGAGTATTGATACTATAAATATATATTTGTCCAAACCATTTATTCGCCATAGACAAATCCATATATATATATATAACCTGTAGAATATACCAAAAACATATATCAGAAATAGTTACTAGTTATTTGTTCAAAAAACAATATATATTGTGTCTGAAAATATGTATGATCTTTGTAAGATTAATTTAAATTGAATATTATTAATTAATTCTAGTATTTACGTTAATTAATACAAAAGTCATTAACGGAGTAATAGCATTTTTATGTATGTAACATTATGTATAATATTGGTCGTGTGGTCCCGGCATAAAATGGGCCACCCCTTCCTATCCCATGGGTGTCGTAAGAGTCGACTAAGATAGGGCGAGGGATGGGCAGCAGCTCTCTTAAAACTTTTCTAATGCCTAACTGCGGTTGCCAATCCGCCTACCAAGCGTGGTAACTATTGACAAACCCCCCCAAGGGGAGGCTTATGTTCAGCAGTGGACAGTTAAAGACTGTTATAATGATGTATGTAATATGTAAATAACTAAAATCAAAATTCATAAATATTTGATTGAAAAATAATTTGAATCTATTAACAGAGGAAAATATTACTAATAACAAAAAATACATTTGTATGTACTTTTGTGTACATATTTAAATATGCGGATTAGTAAGGATTAATGAGAGGTTTAAGTTTCAAATTAGGTTTTCTTAGTAAAAGTTTCACATTCACTAGGTGTAAATCAAAATATAAACCGAATGTAGGACGCGGTAAAGAGATGAATGGCTTTACGTCATGTTATACATAGTTATTTAAGAGGATCGCTAAATATAAATAGCTCTTAATAGCTTGTATTTTATTTTGTGTAAAGTTGTGTCTACATATTTTTACTAGCTGCATCCCGTGTCTTCGTCTATAAACGTACAGTGATATCAAATAGCACATAACCTTGGATTATATTACTTGGATTATATTATTTACCAGAGGGAGACTTTGTACAAAAGTCGATTGCTTGGGTACCTCTGTCCCATTCGTGTTTCAACCGTGAAGCAGTTGTGTTTGCATGGCTGTGTTTCGGTTTGAAGGGTGGGATATGGCGTGAATTTACTGGGTACAGAGGAATAACACCTAAGTCCTCAGGAATGGCAACGCATGGGGGGTATCATGGGCGAAACAGTATACTCTGTTATGTCCACGGTACTGCTCATGTGTATAGGCGACGGTTACCACTTTCCATCAGGTGGGCCGTCAGCTTGTTTGCCATTCTAAGTTCTATAAAAAAAAAAAAAAAAAAAAAAAAAAAAAAAAAAAAATAGATCGAGCCTCAAAAACGGGTCAACTTTTTGTCAGCTAATTGTCAAATTAGCTGACTCGTTTTTTTTTATTAATATATTATATACTTACACATAAAATGTATCTTGACGTATTATTTAATAAATAAAATGAATGGTTACGCATTAAAAAGATGCAGAAATTATAAGACAAAATAAATATAAAAGTTATAAAGGAATCACTCATAACTATTTATAATGCAATATTTTATAAAAAGGTTGACCCGTTTTTCATTCTATCTATATAATCTAAGGGAATAACTTTAAGAAATGATCTATATATATTTCAAAGAGAATTTTCTAAATCCAATTTAAATTTATTTATTTATTTAACACTTCGTTAGTACATGAATTATTATTTTCAACAAGTATAGTAAAGTACAAGAGGTGGTCTTTTCTCTAAGCAATGTCTTTCAGACAACCTTTAGGTACAAGGAATTAAAGAATCATGATTTCAAAGATTTCGTTAATATAGGATAGATTTTGATAATCTTTTTTTGTTATACAACTTAGAATGGCAAACAAGCTGACGGCCCACCTGATGGAAAGTGGTAACCGTCGCCTCTAGACAGGAACAGTACCATGGAAATAACAGTGTATACTGTTTTGCCCATGATACCCCCCATGGGTTGCCATTCCTGAGGACTCAGGTGTTATTCCTCTGTACCCAGTAAATTCACGCCATATCCCACCCTTCAAACCGAAACACAGCCGTGCAAACACAACTGCTTCACGGTTGAAACACGAATGGGACAGAGGTACCCAAGCAATCGACTTTTGTACAAAGTCTCCCTCTGTAACTGTAACCTTTTTAATAACAAATATATAAATATATAATAAATAATTTATAAATTAATAATAATTTATAAATCAAATCAAACTTGTTAGAAAAACGATTATTTATAACTCTATTATTACAATCATCATCATCATCATCATAATATCAACTGTTCATTGCTGAACATAAGGAGGGTTTTGCCTGTAATTGTCACGCTTGCGAGTCGGCGATAGCAGTTAGGTTTTGGCGTTTTTAAGAGGCACGCTGCTAACCATTCCTCAACCACTAAGTTCCCTTAGTTGCCTCTTACGACACCTACGTTAAAGGTAGAGCTGCTCGTTCTATGCCGGGACGTATTGCCGTGTAGGCAATTTATTACCATGTATATTGATAAATCGTTTATGACATACTTAATAGTCGTAGTCACTAGGTCATCATAGGTTATAGTTATGATATCATACCAAATAAATAGATATCATCATATCTTTTATTAGATTTACGTCACAGAAGCTGAAACAAAAAATGCTCACGACCCCAAATAAATTTCCAATGGACCTTTATAACTGGCAATTTTGTATTACGATTTTAGATGCTACCTTATACAACATTCGAAATTTAAATAATGTACAATAGGGAGCATAGATTAAGAATAGTACTTTCAATAAGGACCATAGGTTTTATTCTTTATCTATGATACACAATTGACGAAAAATAGTTACCTTTATGAGTTCAAATTTTTTATTAATGTAATCATTTACATATTTTACAGGAGGGCATCCAAGTTCTAGTCAAATGTGAAGAGGCAGCAGAACTGTTGGAATCCAAGATCATGGAATACCGGCAGGAGCAGGAAATCCAAACTCTGTTGAAAGAGTTAATTATCATTAAAGCAAGGATCTCAAAACTTTTGACACAAGCGCGACAGGGGCTAGACGTCATCCAGGTAAGAAAGGTATATAACCTAATTTTTATTTATTCATAAATTCAAGAGGCATGACATTCTAAATTTAACTTTTTTTATTGTAAATTACGTATTTTTCTTTAACTGTAAATCGATTAATATTTTATATCAAATAACTTTATTTACATTCATAATAATTCCACCATACATAAATTAAGGACAGTACTTAATTCTAATAAGTTCATACTAATTTTGACAAAATTAATGTTTGTTTATTAATTAGCACTTTTATCGAATCAAATAAAATAATTTATTTTGTAAAAATATACCTATATTTTTACAGACAAATTATATAAGTATTAATTGCATACATTTTGAGATCTAGCTATATTATCCTCTCAAAGTATATAATGCAATTTTTCCAAACTTAAATTCATAGTTTATTTTCATGTATAATAATAAAAACTTTAAATTTTTCAGGATGCAAAATTAGAAATGGCGAAACAAGCCAAAGATGTGGAGGAGTTAAGAGAAAAAATATTCAAACTAGATAACTGGCTTGAAAGTATAAATAAAGAACTGAAGGAATCCAATAAACAGTTGGATGCATTAACAGAAGAAGATATTGTCAAATATATGGAAGTATATGAGAGATACATCAGAGAGTATGAAGAGTATGAAATTCTATTGAAAATTATTAATGTCACAGGCCGAGATGAAACTAGTCAAATGTTAAGAGAAAAGTTGAATGTTACGCGAAAGACATTAGCAGAAACGAGGAGTCTAGTCACTATAGAGATTGAAAGATTAAGACAGCTATTACTGCATATTCGATCCATACCAGAACCGGAACTAGTTGAGGATGATATATCACAAACAGACAGGACTATTGATTCTACATCAATGCCAGAAGAAATTGTTTCACCAAGGGAAACCGAAATTCCTAAACAAAGAGTTGATGTTCCAAAAATTGAACCTGCTAAGTCACCTGAAATTAAAGCTGTGCAAGAAAATGTTGAAGTCAGAGATATAGAAATACAAGAAGTAAAACCAACTGTAACTACAGATACACAAACTGGTAAAAGCCTTATGTCAGATAGTATATCTGTTTCTGACAAATCAATTATATGTAAGCCGGACGTGAAAAGCACAAAAGATATTTCAATTACTTGTGCACCTCCACAAGAAATCGAAGTCCAAACAAGTGAGCCACATTCTCAAGAAAAAGAATTGCTTGAAAGTATTCAAGTACGACAAATTGTGTCAGATGATCACGAAACTATCGAAATCGCAAGTAGACCTCTATTAAGAGAATCCAAAGTTGATGAGCAGTCGTTATTTGTTGATGCTAACTACAAAGATGGCAATTTAATGAAGGATTCCCAATTAAATATTATACATAGCCTACCACAATCCTTCGAAACTGTTATGGTTGAGCCAGATGAAACAACTACCGAAGTAGTGGTGGATGCTGATGGTACAAAGAGGATTATTGTTAAGAAAATAAGAAAGACTTTAGTAACTAGACAACAAACTATACAAACTCAGCAGCATAGATCACAAATACTTTCCAGAGAGAATATCCCCGAAGATCAGTCATTCTCACAGATCACTTTACATGAAGATAAAGGATCTAAATCGACCACACTAGATGATGGTGGAATTCAACATATCCAATATCAAACATATGGAGGTCAAGTAATATCAGGACTACCAGGTGGTGAAGTTATGATACAAGAATTCACTTCGAAACCTGATATGGTAGTTAGAATGGAACAAGGAATGAAACCAGAGGAAATTCTTCAAATAGCGGAAGGGGAAATTCAGCCCCATATTCAAACTTCATCGTCTAGTGTCACAGCTGTTGTTCAACAAGTTACCAAAAGAATAGTTAAAACAAAACGTCGTATTATACGTAGAGTCGTAATAATTGATGGTAAAGAACATGTTACTGAAGAAATAATAGAAGAACCAGATAACGTAGAAGTTTTCGAGGAACAAATACCTAGAGTAGCTATTAGTGTAAAAGATCACGGCGGGGTACAATTCGAACAAATTGATGACTCCCATGATAAAGATGATAATCAACCACCTTCTGATTCATCTGATTTATATAAAGAATCTAAAACTCCAAAAGATCAAAAACAAAAGAAAAAGAGTGAGAAATCTGTTACAAGCACTGATAAAGCCGACATAGAAAAAAGTACAACAACTTCTCAAACACGTAAAGTTAATCCAGTAGATTCAGTTACCGTAGAAAAAACTCCATCAAATGAGAACATTCAAATATTAGAACAGTCATACAATGTTCAAGAACCAATAGAACCTCAAACAATCTTGATTACGGGAGGAACTCAATATTCATCTACCGAATTATCTTCAAATGTTGCAACTGTTGTTCAAAAAGTAACTAAAAAAATTACTAGAACAAAAAGACGTATAATTAAACATATTCAAATAATTGATGGCAAAGAGCATGTTACTGAAGAAGTCATTGATGAACCTGATGATGTAGAAATTATAGAAGAAGAACCTAAAATCACTCACGATATACAAACTCAAGGTATAAAAACAAAACGTATCAAAGTAATACGACAGGTTCAAATAATTGATGGTAAAGAACATGTAACGGAACAAATTGTAGAGGAACCTGACGAAGATTTCATTCCTGAATCTACAGTTACTGCCGAAATTGATGTATCTATAAATAAACCTACAATATTGGTAAAATCAGAACAAGACGAAACCGATATTGATAACGTAACATCAACGAAAAAGTCTGCTGATGATCAGATATTTAAAATAACAAAAAAAATACCTGAACTAACTTCCGTCACCTCAATAATAACAGAAGCTGATTTAGGCAAAGTAGATGTACAGGAAAATTTAAATACTGATTCTACTAAATTTAATATTTCTCCAGATAATACCGTGATAAATATTACAAAAAGTTTAGTTGACAGTGAAATTCAATCATCCACTGATTCTAAATCATCAGAGTTAATACACAAACAGGTTGTGGAAAAGCCGAATAAAGAAACAAGTAAAGAAAGAAAGAGTTCTAAAAAAGCAAAAAAAGTGAAGGATTTAAAACCTGATAATGTCGCTTTTGTGCCAGAAATCACTAATACAATTCCTACAGAAAATTCTTCTTTAAATATTGACAAAGATACATCTGTTATAAACCTCACTAAGTCATTGATTGATAGTGAAACTAATCATTCGATTCCACTACTGTCATCTGTAGAAACAAATAAAGAAATTCTAAAGACTAAAATTGAAGAAAATATAACCGCCGAACAGGCTGGAACAATTCCAGAAACTGTTCTTGAAACTACAGAACCTGTAAATACATCTATAAAAACTATAGTAGAAAGTACAGATTTTCTAGAAAATTCTAAACAAATTCCTTCGTATACAACTATTATCGAAAAATTAAGTGATGATTCCCAAAAAGAATTAAAAGATGAGAATAAACTTAGAAATTTACCAGAAATAATAACAAACCTTCAAAAAACTACTGATTTTGCTGTAGATAAAAGTTCAGTGCCTTCGGACCAAAGCAAAATTGAAAAAATAGAAAAAGAATCAGTTGATAATATTTCTAAGGAAACTTCTGATATTGACTTAACGGATAAAGAAACAATACTGTCTGAGGAAAATATATTTAAATCACCGATTAACGAGATTTTATCGACAAAAGAATTGATAGAAAAAGAAAGAATTCATAGCGTTATCGATAGCACTTTAGATAATAAATATGATCATAAGACGCCATCACAATCGATGGACATTCTATTGGACAAAGAAGTAATAAAAGAACTTCCCTTGGGAGATACAGAATCTAAATCCATAATAATCCTCAAAGATAATAAAGAACATTCACCAGAAATAAAAGAGGAACCAAGTAATAAAAATATAAAAACTGAACATGATATTGGAGAAACACAAACACAATCAACTCTTCTCCTACAAGAATGTAAAGAGATATCCTCAGATATTCAAAGAAATCTATCAACTGATGCTACAATTATATCCGAGAAAATTGGTTCCATTAAAGAAATTCCAAAAGATAATACAAAATCATCTACACCTCCAGGCGAAGGTATTCCCTTACTTGAGAAAATAGAGGAACCATCAATACAATATATTAAGTCAAAAGAAGATAATGAATACAGCGATGAATTGGCTAAAAATGCTACAGATTCGACGCTTTCTCCTAAAAAAGGTATGGATACTGGTCCAATAAAAGCAGAAAAAACTGTAAGCCAAATTAAGACAGAAAAAGCACCGACACATATTTCTGTAGAAGTGGAACCTTTATCTACAGGAAACATAGTAACGGAAACTGTTATTTCCTCTTTACCAGGAACTCCCCAATATTCTTACATTTATCAGTTTGAACATACAGCAGATAAGATAGAAGAAATACCTGAAAAAGTTCAAGATCCTATTGAACCTTTGCCACACAGTGAACAAGAAACAATGCCTTCTGAAATCCTTGAAACGAAAGATACAGTAATTTCCAGTAAGCCAGATACTAAATATGATATTAACTTGCTTCTTGAATCAGAACGTCGAGATACTCATTTACGTGGATTTAAAGATAGAACTCCCTTGCCAGACAATGAATTTAAAACCAGTGAAGACATAACTGTGGATCCTAATAACCTATCACAAACTGTTGATATATCGATGTCTATAGCTAAAAACATACCTAAAAAATCTAAACCAAAGGTCCAATTTGACATAAAAGTTGAAGAATTTAAGTCTGCACCTACTGTTGTTAAAAAAGACATTGATGTTAACTTACCAATAGAAGTAAAAATAACTGAAGAACACATACCTACATCTGTAATTGATATTGTAAAAGAGGAAGAAACAATTTCTAGTAAAATTTCACCTGAAGTGTCAATAAAAGATCATAAACGTAGCAAAAAAAGGAAAAAACATAAACAAGGATTAGAAGACAGTGAAAAAGAAATTGACACGGAAACAGATAAAAGTGTTACTGATAGTGAGAGCACATCTTTGAGTCACTACGTGGAACTTCCAACATCACCACCTATTGAATCTCCCAAACCTACAGAAGAGATTCTAGAGCCAACCATTGAACAAGATTCATTAATTATAGAGTCTGAAACAATTTCAGAAGAAAAAGGTTATGAACCTGAAGATGTTTCCGTAGATCTAACTATAGTACCTGAAATATCCGAAAAAAAGAAAAAGCAAAAGAAACGAAAACAACATGGAATTAGTGAGGAGACAACATATCCAAAAGCAAGCACAACTGACTCGGATGAAACTTCAGTAACAACCCCTACAGAAATTAAGGAGCCAACAGAAAGTAATTTGAAAGATAAAAGAAAAAAGAATAAGAAGAAAACTGAATCTGAAACAGAAAAGCTAATAACTGCTCCAGAAACAAAACCAATGAGTCCAAAAGTAGGAAGTGAAACAGTGGAGGAATCACCAAGAGAAGAATCTTATCATACGATGAGTGAAGTATCTGAAAGCAACACAGTGAAGATAGTTGAAGAGTGTGTACAAAGTAGTCCTGAAATTGTACATAAAGAAGTTTCTGCAACTATCACATATCCTGTTCCAGTTGTAGAAGAGGTAATCACACAAGAATATTCAGTACAAACATCTCCAGAAGCATCCATTGAGCAAGATTCTATAAAGGAAGATATTGAAATTATAAGACCAGAAACAGTTGATATTGTATCACAAACATCACCAACACCTATAAGTGAATCTTTAGTACAAACAATACCTATAGAAGAGAAAGAAGTTCATACTCAAACAAGCGAAGAAGTTACCATCTTAGAAAAAGTGCCCATGTCAGATTCGGAAATACAAACAAGTAAACCAGTAACTCCAGAAATGATAGTTCACTCTGAGGCAACACAAGTTATCCCCTATGATATTAATGTACCTGACGACAAGTTCTCCCAAACTTCGTCACCAATTCAAGAACCTACACAAGAAGAAAAATTCGTAACTGAAACAGAGACTAAAGAAATTCAAACTTCTCCAGTAGACGATAAAATAAAAGAAGAGAAAAGTACTGAAATTATCATAGAAACAAGTGATACTGACATTCAAACTACAACACAAGACATAATTGATCGTGAAACTTCTACATCGCCTGTAAAAGAAACAGAAATGGTAGAAATGAGCATTCAAACACCTGAAGTTCCTGTTGTTAGTTCATATACACAATCAGATGAACCTAAATCTATTAATATAGAGGAATCTGAAGAACTTCCTGTCAAAGATGTAATTACTGTTGATACTATTCAACAAACATCTCCAAGAGATATACCTGATCAATTACCGAATCTTGAAATTGTAAAAGTAGTAGAGACTGTTGATAGTACTCAACAAATTTCTCCAAGACCTGAGCAGCTTTTGGAAATTCAAGTCCAAGAAAATATCACTATACCTCCGATTCCAGAATCTAAAGCCGAAATTATTACAAATGATAGTACACAACAAACTTCTCCAATAGAAGACGTTGTAGAAACGCCGCTTAAGTCTCATCTTGAATTAGCTAAAACAGATATAGTTACAATGGATACAATTCAACAGACTTCACCAAGGGATTATTCTGAGACTTCTATCTCTACATCGACAGACGAACCATATGAAGTTCATTTACGTGCTCAAATATCTATTCCACAATCTATCACCGACTTTATTGAAAATGAACGACAATTTCAGGAAAAAGAACAACCACACTCAATCGTTAGTGAAAAACATAAACAAAAGAAGAAGAAACATAAGAAGAAAGGCGATTCACCTACTTTACATTCTCCGGAAAGTTTGTCAGATCCTATAACTACAGAACTTTCAATGTCCATAACGCCAACAAGTGAAGATCTCTCTAGTAAAGATGCATCCTCAATAGATGAAGGTATTTATCAAGGTTCAATGTTATCTAAACAACAAGATATTATTATTGGCACACAACCAAAACTTACTTACTCTGATGTAGTTCAGCGATCTAAATCTAAATCACCATCGCCAACTAAAAGTATCCTTTCATATAAAACAGAAAAAGCAAAATTGCTTGATACTCTACAAAAACGTACACAATCTGTTATTGAATCTGAAAAACAACCGAATGACTCTATGGCTTTAGTCTTGTATGAACCGGACGTTGAAAAATCATATGATCTTATACTAAATAAAGAAATCGATGAAGTGAAAAATGCTGTAGAAATGAATGATCGGTCTAAAATTGAGAAAAGTACTATTACTATTATTGAAACTATATCTATTTGGTTAGAAGAAATTCGGTATATGATTCAAAATGAGACCATAACTGGTATTAAAGAATCTCAACAGACTGATCGCTTGCAATCTCTACAAACCCAAATTAAGAATTTGAAAGAGTTAATTGACGTAACTGAAGTAAATGAAGAAATAATTACTTTAATTGAAACACTAACACATCAAGTTTACGCAGTTAATTCATTAAACAAGGAAAGTACTAAAAAAGTGCAAGAAAGTGAATCAGAATGGAATAAGTTCTTAGACGAAACAGAAAAACTGCATAAGATAGTGCTAAATGTGAAATCTAATCTTGATGACATTATCATGTCAGATATACCAACACAACAGAAATTAGACAAACTGGATAAATTGGAATTAAATAATGCTGATAATACTGATAATGTTAAGAAACTATTTACAAGATATCGCATACTTTCTGAAGCAAATTCTAAACGGGAATGTCCTTCTGTGCTTTATAACTGTGATGATGATACAAAACAAATAGACAATGTAATCAATACCGAAAGAGATCGTCTTCTACAATTAACGTCATTAGCTGAAGAATATGAACAAACTTTGCAAGATTTTGGCCAGATCACCGATGTCGCTGAGGCTCTTCTCGATGGTAAAATTATAGTTTCAAATTTGGATCATTTACATGAGGAAATTCAAAAACACAGAAAGTTCTTTGTTAATTTAAGTCATTGTAGAGCTATTCTAGAATCTTTGGAAGATAACTTGGATAGTGAAACAAGATCAAAATATGCATCATTACATAATTCTTTACACGACAGAGCTACAGTCATTATTGATAGAGCTGCAAGCAGAGCACAACAGATGACTTTAGCTGCTTCCAAATGGACAATGCTGGAGCAAGGAATGAAAGCCGAAAAACAGTGGCTAGTAGTTGCTCAGCAAAGAGTACCTGATCTCACAAATGTAACTTCAATGGATCATGAACAATATATTAATCTATATCAATCATTAAGTTTAGACATATCGCATCATTATGCAAAGATGTTACGTCTAATGTCTATAACTCAAGGACTTCAAAACTTGATTGTATGTTCTGGACTGGAAACCGAATGTTCTATGGCATTAGATACTTTACTGAAATTGCAAGAAGATGTAGACTCAAGATTAACTAGATTAACGGCGTTTAAAGAGAATTGGATAATGTATGATCATCTCATTGACAGAATAGAAAGTTGGATGAAGATTACTAACAGAGAAATGGAAAATATTACACCAGAAAACATTACAACTACGGGTAACCTTCGTCGTTTTTGGGAACTAAAAGCACAACACGAAGTACACAACAATCTAAAAAATGAATCTGGAATTCAGTTTGAAAAGGCTCTTGAAATTCTTCCTATATCTGATGAAATGGTACAGCGTCAATTTTTCTCTAAAATTGAAGATAAATGGCGTGATTTAGCTAATAGAATTGGTGATATTCATGCATCAGCCATCCAGAATATTTCGGATCGTGATGTTACATCTGGTGAAAAATTAAATATATTGGAAGAAGAAATAAGAGAACTTCGTTCATCTTTGGATAATCTTAAAGGAGTCATAAAGAGTGAAGATGAACTTAATCTATACATTGAAAGACTGCAAGTAATGACCAGCCGTATAGATAGGATACAGAATGAACTTGGTAGGCTCAGTTTGCTACCTACAGCTGAATCTGAACGTCTGGGTGCGCTTTTAACTCAGTCTGGAAATCTAGATGACCAGATATCTGAAGAACTTGAACGTAGCTTGTTACTGAAAGAGAAGATTGTGCAAGTCCAAGCTGGAATCATCCGATGCCAAAAAAGTCAACGACGTGCTAAGCTTACTTTAGAAGAATGTGAAGCTGCCGAACGACTAGGCAGTGATGTCGTAGAAAGAGCCTCTGAAACCTGCGAAAGGCTCATAGAAGATCTGGCATCACAATGGAGAGACATACTAGCATTGAGGCAGGCTCTGCATACATTGCCAATTAGTTTACGCGTCTGTGTCTCACCTACAGGTGTTGAGAGAGACATCTCGGCTTTACAGGTAACTTTGTTGTTTTTTTTTTAAATTAATCAAACGTAAAAGATTAAAATATTATTATTTGGTTTTAAAACATTATTGTATTTTATAGGAAACCCATGCAACATTAGAAGCAGCTTGCAATGATCTCAGTACAAGACTCCGTTCTAAAGTCCAGTTGTGGAGAAGATTCGAGAGACAATTGGAGTTGGTGCAGGGAGCAGTGAGAGAAGCCGATTACATGGTCGAGTTACTCACAGTCCAAGGACAAGTTGACTACGATCGTCTGTTGAAGGCTACAGAGAAACTCGAGGTAATGATTTAATATTTTTTTAAGTAATAAAGTGTTGAAAGCAAAGTAATAATGTTATACAGGTCCTACACTAGTTATTTACTTCGTAAAATTTTTGAATTATTACAGTTTAATAGCTAGGACGATTCTATTGCCGTGTTGTCTCGGCATAGAATGGGTCACCTTTCCTTTCGAGATTGTCTTAAGAGGCGACTAAGGGAACTTAATGGACGAAGGATGTCTAGTTAGCCCATTGTGACAAATTCAACAAATGTTAACCAATATGGTTTCTAAGGAATTGGGGTTGAGGTTAGTCTTCTTTTTTAATGGATAATAATGGAATGGTAACCCCGCCTGTACTAGTGAAGTCAATAGGTAAAAATGAAAACGCAGGTCAGTTAGCCAATCGTAATGGAATACAATACATCTGGAATTCAGCACGATGGTTGCCAGGGGAGACCATATGGAGGTTGACCATACAAGGTATATTGTTAGTAATGGAGCTATTAAACCCCCATTATTAACAATCCTCCTCCCCCTGCCCCTATGTACAATGTGTTTTATAATTAAACATTACCTAAATGGCATGTTATCTTTGCAGACACTAAGCGAATCCCTGACACGGCGCAGCGGCGAGCTGGTCGGGCAGCTGCGAGACGCCGCGGCACCTCTGGAGGCATCCACTGACCCCACAGTGGTGGTACAGCTACGTCGCGAATTGGACGAGGCGGCCGCAGCTTACGATCACACCTGCAGCAATCTCACGCAGCTGTGTGACAAGTAAGACTAATTACTAGCTGTATTCCCCGGCTTCACTCGCGTAAATCAGAATATAAAGTTCTCTTCGTGTTAATTTACGATATAAACAACACATGTGTTAAATTTCATATAAATCTGTTTTTTTAAGTAACTTAGAAGAGCAAACAAGCTGACATCCCATTTGATGGAGAGTGGTATACGTTGCCTATAGACATGAGCAGTACCATAGACATAACACTGCACTGTTTCGCCCATGATATCCCCATGAGTTTCTCATGCCATTCACTCAGGTGTTATTCCTCTGTATCCTGTAAATTCACTGCCATATTCCGCCCTTTAAACCGAAACACAGCCATGCAAACACACATTGAAACACGAATGGGACAGAGGTACCCAAGCAATCGACTTTTGTACAAAGTCTCCCTTTGGTGACTTTGTCAGTCCTAAGGAATGGCAACGCATGGGCGGTATCATGGGCGAAACAGTGTACTCTGTTATGTCCATGGTACTGCTCATGTCTATAGGCGACGGTTACCACTTTCCATCAGGTGGGCCGTCAGCTTGTTTGTCATTCTAAGTTGTATAAAAAAAAATTAAAAAAAATGTCAACCGAATTAAGAACTTGACACCTTCCTTTTTGAAAATGTTTGAAATCACGGCAGTCCCGCTTAAAATACTCCAAACGTCCAAATCAGTTCAGGCATTTAGAAGTTGTCGGAATAAACAAACTTCCATACATATATGAACACTGAAAACATTTCACTCCTCTTTTGGATAGTCGGGTAATTATTTTAACAACAATGAATGTAAATTATTTAGCAAAGTAATTTCTTCACAGATACCACCGCGCCGTTGAGCTGTGGAAGAGATATCGAGACGCAGCGGCCGCTGTTCGAACGTTTGCGGACTTTATAGAAGGCCAGCTGCACTCGCTGCGACCCGACGACGCTCCGGCCACAGCACAGGTATGTGGTAGACCTAATCAGATTTCATTAATTCTATTTTTTTTTTATGGCTGATAATGGTATGGTAACCCCGTCTGCGCTATACACTACACTACACTGGCGGGGCACCAGTGATAGATGACTGATGAGGATGAAAGCGGGTCAGTTAGCTTATCCTGGCGAATTCAACTAGAATTAGCCACGATGGTTTCCAGGGGGAAGTCAACCTGACTATGTGTGTGTAGGTACTGTATATTGCTAGTAATGGGGCTATTTGACCGCATTGCTAACAATCCCTTTCCCCCCAACATTAATTCTATTTACTATAACAAGAGTATTGCCCTCTTATTCTATAAAAACCTTAGACGTCTCGTATAATGTAAATAAATTTCAAAAAACGTACCTACAAGTATTTAAAAGACCGGCGACGCACAAGTGACTCCTCTCGTGTAGTAGGTGTTTATGGGGGACGGTAGGCGCTTTCCATCAGGTGGACCGTCTGCTCGTTTGCCTCCCTAACAATAAAAAAACAAATAGATAGATAGATACTCTTTATTGTTTCCTCCAAAAGATTACAATAGTAAACTTTTTTTTTTTTTTTTATACAACTTAGAATGGCAAACAAGCTGACGGCCCACCTGATGGAAAGTGGTAACCGTCGCCTATAGACATGAGCAGTACCATGGACATAACAGAGTATACTGTTTCGCCCATGATACCCCCCATGCGTTGCCATTCCTGAGGACTCAGGTGTTATTCCTCTGTACCCAGTAATTTCACGCCATATCCCACACTTCAAACCGAAACACAGCCATGCAAACACAACTGCTTCACGGTTGAAACACGAATGGGACAGAGGTACCCACGCAATCGACTTTCGTACAAAGTCTCCCTCTGGTAATTATTATAAATATAAACAATTACAAGAAATAATCACAATGAGAAAACAATGAGCGAACTTATCGCTAAAAGCGATCTCTTCCAGGCAACCTTTGGATGAATATTTGGATATGTAATATTTATTTTTAACAATTTATATAAGAGATTTCAATCTAGGTACACTGAATTTTGACCGCTTTAAAAATGAATAGATGGTCTTTAAACACTTTTGCTATAAAATGTTCATAGGCGCTCATTCATACTTACAGAACTAATATAGCTTAAATCCCCAGGGCCATAGCTAGACCCAACTTTAAGGTAGGACAAAAGAACTTTTTGGTAGGGCATTTGCCATAATTAAGTGAGTTCAAAAAAGCGAATTTGTCCAATTTTCTTAGGACCAATCTCTCCAATTTTTATTTAAAGGTAAAGCATTGTACATTTTAAGGTAGGGCATTGTCCCTCAATGCTCCCCTACTCCAGCTACGGCCACGAAAATCTCTATCTACTTGTAGCCATTTTTGTTTTTGCAATTTTGTTTTATTTCTAAACTCTTAAATATTACGTACTTCAAAGGGGAAATCTCTAATCAACTAGGTTTAATTTATAATTCTTTTTTTAATGGGGCATTGGTTAAAAAATTTTAAGATTGTAAGAAAAAACTAGAAAGCAAGTATGTTCAAATGTCTAAAGAATTTACCCAAAACTGTGTTTGAGACTCGAGTCATTTTAATAATGTTCATTTCCTGAATTTTCTCGAACAATAATCGAATCTAGAACCTCATTTACACAAACAACGAATTACGAGACGATCCTTCTATTTAATGTTTTAATTCTAATCCAGTGTGCTTTATGAATTTTAAGCAAAAACTTCATAAATGAGTCATAAGACGTCTGACTGGGCCGCCATATTTTACTATGCCGCCATATTTTATATGTCAACGGTCGACGATCCTCGGAGCGACTTGATGCATTTTGAAAGGCAATGTCAAGAACCCAAGTAGAAAATTTGTATGCGGTGTTACTTATCGTATTTGCTGAACTTTAAATACATTTATTTTTATGATTTTTGCACAATAATCGAATGGTTACATAAAGTTGCTATACCTTTTTTTTAATGCATGATAGTGGAATAGTATATTGATAGTAATGGGGACTGATCTCCCCATTACTAACAATCCCTTCCCTCCCCCCTCCTGCCCGCAGTTATGCCTAATTATGATAACAGTTAACCGCAGCAGTCAAGTACAATGACCGTGTACGATCCCGCGGCCACTGTTTACTTAGCACTAAATAACAACAGTTAGAACGTGGGTTGCCACTTAATTTATTTATTTATTTATTATAATAACTCGTCATAGCCTCTGGATGGACGTGAAATTTTTATTTTTTTATTCATGATGATGGAATGGTAACCCCGCCTGCGCTGTCGGTATACGCTGGCGGGGCAGCGGTGAGGGATGATAGGTGAAAAGGCAAAGGCAAATTAGTTAGCCTATCGTGATGAATATACCTGGGATTCGGCACGATGGTTTTCAGGGGGACCGCGTAGTGGTCGACCTGACAGAGGGTATATTGCTAGCAATGGAACTGGCAGCCCGCATTACTAACAATCCCTTCCCCCTGAAACGTTTATTCGGCTGATGCAGTATATTCTAATGACGTCATGTCTCTGCCATAAAAAGAAATGGCCTAGCCTATTATTATAGGAAGTCCAAGGCTGGCTGAACCAAGATCTATCGATTAACTGGGATAAACAGTAACCTATTGGGGAGGGTGGCATTGCTAGCAATATACTATATAGGTATACGACCTCCAAGGGGAATTGCGTGGAGATCAACCTGATAGGATAATTTGCTAGCAATGCCATTAGGTCGTTTAGGTTCTATAAATTCTCATAATATGGTTGAGACACTGTAATAATTATGTTATCTAACGCTTCCGTTTTGTCGACATCGGCTATGACAATACAATGTTTGTTGCGTAAATAATTCCGGTGGGTAGGTACTTATTTAAATAAACGTTTAAAACACGAGAAATTTAAATTTTATGTGAATTTAATGTTCAAATAATTAACTATCAATGTCCCAAAGAGAATACTTAATGAACTCGCGGGCAATTAATGTAAAACATAAATGAAATCGCCTAGCGTAATGAAGTGATAACGATTTGATAACACACACCTACCAACACACCACACCACCAGTTGTACCGCGGACGTCCCTCCGCGTGGACGTCTGTCGGCGAACGAACGCGATATTAAACGAACATACTCGAAAAAATAAAAATCGATTCATCCAATAATAAATAATATAACGAGAATATTAAATTCGAAAAATTCAAATAGCTAAAACGCGCCGATGTGTAAGTGCGTTCGAATTACGATTTCAAAATTCAAGGCCGCAATAACATGTGCGACATCAGTTTTAAATAGTATGCAAGTTACTTCTTGACAGTATGCATAATTTCATTTGAACATTGGGCGATAACGCCTGGAACTGCATACAATGTCGTGACCTTGGTACGTGACCATGACTTGATTATAAACTGTTCCAAATTTGAAATTTTGAATTCCGCATACAGTCGAATTGAATTTGGAAGCTCGCTCTGTTAGTTATAAACTTTGTGGTTTGACGTTCGAACGTGCACAGATACCGCCAAGAAAGTTAATTCTTTTTTTTTTAAATTCGCTACCAAAAACAATAACATATCGTGCTAGCTAGACTGATGTAAATTCAGTTATAAATTTACATTCAAGTAATACGGTATATTTTACAGTGTTGCATGCGCGTTTTTAAATAAAATATAATGGTGTTTTTTTAACAATGGCGAGTGTTATAACAAGAGTGATAAGTGAAATATTTATGTGGTGTATCGTGTGATTTATCAACAAAATGTCACTTCAGGAGGTGAGCGATACGATATTAATTTTTGGACCGTAGGTACTTATCTACCGTGTGGGTAGACATACAATGAAGTCATCCATATACGTTTTATACAATACAGGCACCCGGTTTTGTCAGTGTTTTTTTGAACAGCACGATTTTTTTAATGAATGATAATGGAATGATAACCCCGCCTGCACTACGGTATATGCTGGCGGGGCACCAGTGAGGGATTATAGGTGAGAATAAAGCAGGTCAGTTAGCCCACCGTGACAAATCTAAAAGTAAATAAATCACGATGGTTTCCAGGGAGACCCACGAGGAGGTCGACCTGATATAGTATATTGCTAGCAATGGGGCTACTAATCCCCATTACTAACAATCCCTATTATCCACCCTCCCCCAATACGAATATTAGGTACTTAGTACTTTACACGACTGTCCAAAAAAAGTGCGTAAGTGGTTTCCAGTGTTCATAAAACTCTTTGTACTACCATAACTTCTAAATACTTGAACAGATTTATATGTATTTTTTTTATTGGATGAAAATGGAGTGGTAACCACGCCTGCGCTAATGGGATACGCTGGCGGGGCACCAGTGAAGGGTGATAGATGAGGATGAAAACAGGCCAGTTAGCCCATCATTATGAATTCATCAGGAATTAACCATGATAGTTTCCAGGGGGAACCGCGAGAAGGTCGACCTGGTTGGGTATATTGCTAGCAATGGGATTCTTAGTCTCCATTACTAACAATCCCTTTCCCCTGTATTAGGTATTATTAGAATTCTTACATAATCCCAAGTGACACTGGCCATAAATTTTTGAAAACAGTTCTTTTTTGGTGGAACAGTCATGTTTTTTAATTCGCGGTGCAAAATTTACTTTAATTTTTAATTCGTTTGTATTTTTTTGTATATTTGTTACCTCATAACTTTGTTAGTTGTAAACTGATTTGGGTAATTATTTTTTTATCTGAATGGATATTAACTTACAGATTGGTCTCAAGTAGAAATTTTACCAAAATCGGTACAGTAGTTTAGTTTTTAAATCGAATTAATTAGTTTTATCACGATTTAAGTCGGTTTTTTGTGGGACATAATTTTTAATTATGTTAGTATATAATATAAAAGGAAGTGGTCTAGAGTGAATCATCGACATATACAAGATAAAGCCAAACCTTGAAACTTGAATTTTCAGCGTTAGTTTGTATGTTAACGAAATTAAATAACAAAGTTTTACAGAATTTGGTATTTTT